TCAGAAGGCGGGGACACAGGATCACCAAATCGAGCAGGAAATAGTCCGCCCCTTTAAGACTGACGGGAGGAACAGCGAAGATTGATGGGCGGTCTCTGTCAGAGGTGGGGCGTATGTGAAGAGGTCCAGCAAGGTTTGATCATGCTGAGGAAGACCACTCTGAGGTACCAAGCTGTTCAACCTGGATGGAGATGTCCGGGTTGCGCTCACCCATCATTGACGGAAAAGGACTCGTGCCGGGACAATATCCGTTGGTAGCCTCGATGCTGCCAATCCTGAATTGACCAAGCTTCGTGGTGATGAGTCGATTGGTGGCCGCGCTCAGATTGCCAATCATCATTGCCTTGAGCTTCATCCTGTAGTGGGACCACCGGCTTCCAAACACGAACTGATTTCCATGTTGCGGTGGAGGAAGGATTGATTGCGCCACGGTGTCCGATCCAGCTAAGAGCGCAAAGTAAACAGCAAACATGCACAACAAGCAACACACAAGCAAGCAAGAAGTCATGGAAACGCCATTTTGCAGCACGACCAGAATCCGTCTGTCTACTCAGCAACTAGTTCGAAAATGGACTTCTCGTTGACGTTCGAACTGCGAGGACGGTCTGTGGGCATGCAGGGCTCAGCAAGTCCAACAGATTCAGGCTGAAGCAGATCGGCGCCTTGAGAAGTGCGGATTGGCTGACGAGGCATGGATGCTTGGCGCGTGCGATCCGCAAGTTGTTGGCTGATCCCTGCCTGCAGACGGGTGAGATCCTCTGTGGAGAAGGTAGAAGCATCCGAGAATCGAAGGATCGCATCCAACACCTGCGGAGAAAAAGTCAAGAGCGATGACTGTGTGGCCACGCTGTGTTGATCAGGGTGTGAAATCGAAGCGGGGTCCTTGTCCAGCTCCGGAGCCTCGACACGCCTGTAACCTTCAGTGGTCCAGTCGTTTGTACCATGCGTGAACAGTGGATTGAGCGCCATCTTGGGAGTGAACTCGACTATGGAACATCTTCCATTCCCTGTACGTATGACGTGGAGGAGGTTCCTCGTGCTCTGCGTGCAGTATCCATGCACCTGGATGAAAACCTTGACCCATTGAGCGTGCGGTTGTTGAGGATCAGGGCACCACTCCAACCACGGCATGACAACGCAAGCCCCTAAACGCACAACCGAGAAGTACACGGCTGCAGGCAACGAACACTTCATGCCATGTGTCACCGAACATGCCAGTCAAACGCAACACATTCAATCAAGCACTAACAGCAAATGCAGCGCCGTAGCGGTTTCTAACCAGAAGCAACTCAGGTGTCGATGTCACTCGCCCCAATCAAACTCAGGATCGTAGGGACCGAAGATGCCGCTAAAGAAGACAACCCATCGTGCATAAAGTCAGGTGATCCCGAAGAGAAAACGGGCCGCGCTCTGCTCGGGTGTGGATTTCCGAGTCGTTGGTATCCTCTCATGTGCTAGTCACGATATTGCCACGTGTAAAAGGACGCATAGGAGACCGGCTGGGTGAAGGAATTTAGAGTGGTGCCTCCCGTGCTGTCACGAGGCCAATACACTTCAAAATGGTAGAACCTGCGCCATTCCCGATAGGTAGATGAGTCCCCCGGAGCCGGTCCCAAGGTGGAGTCAGCGACGGGTTGCCAAGGGCCTGGCAGTAAACCCGAATCCACTCGACGCGGGTGTTTCCAGCAGCATTCGCAATCTCGTACTCGAAGTAGCGCGGGATGGGCCATCTCTCGGTGGTCGTCGAATTGATCATGATAGCCGAATCAATGGCGGTGAGACAATGCAAGGCTCAAGACACCGAGAAGTCCGCGAGAGCAAAAGCATGCAAACACCACAAAACAAGACAACGCAACCAAAGCTCAGGAGATGCACTGTCTTCAAGCTACTGCCGTTGATGGCGCGCACATCGACAATGAAAGTGCCCGGGCTGACGTCGTGCGTGCGGAGAAAAACACTGAAAAACACTTCCGACCACTGTGCAGGAAAGCATGGCAGTAGTGTTTGCGTCTCATAGTTCTGGATCTTGTGGCACGGGTCGAACGTTTGGGAGTAAACACGGTGAAGGGCTTGTGAGAATAGCGTCCTGCCACTGACGCGGTACCGCTTCTCACGGCTCTCTTGCGGGTGGATTTGGATCCACGCGTAGAGCACTGACTCCGCGAAACACAGAGACACACAGAGAGACACAGACACACAGACGCAGTGCACACACACAGCGCACGCACACACACACACACAGTGCACACACACACAGCGCACACACTGCGCACACACAGTGCACACACACAGTGCACACACACAGTGCACGCACACACAAACAGCGCACACACACACACAGTGCACACACACACACAGTGCACACACACACACACAAAGTGCACACACACACAAAGTGCACACACACACAGTGCACACACACAGTGCACGCACACACACACACACAGTGCACACACACACACACGCAAAGTGCACACACACACACAAAGTGCACACACACAGGGCACACACACATTGCACACACGCACAGCGCACACACACACGCAGTGCACACACACAGTGCACACACACACACAGTGCACACACACAGTGCAAACACACACACACACACACACACACGCAGTGCGCACACACACAGTGCACACACACACACACGCAGTGCACACACACACACGCAGCGCACACCCACACAGTGCACACACACAGCGCACACACACACAGGGCACACTCGCAGTGCACACACACACACAGTGCGCACCCACACACAGAGTGCACACACACACACACAGCGCGCGCACACACACACAGTGCACACACACACAAACACACAAACACAGAAATACATACACAAACAAACAGACAAACACACAAACACACAAACACACACACACACACACACACAAACACACAAACACACAAACACACAAACACACAAACACACAACACACACACACAACCCACACACACACAACCCACACACAAACACACACAAACACACACACACACACAAACACAACACACACAACCACACAACCACACAACCACACAACCACACAACCACGCAAACACGCAAACACGCAAACACACAAACACACAAACACACAAACACACAAACACACAATACACAAACACAACCCACACACAAACACACAAACACACAAACACACAAACACACAACACGCACACAACAAACACAAACACAACCAACACACACACAACCACACAACCACACAACCACGCAACCACAAAACCACGCAGCCACGCAACCACGCAACCACGCAACCACGCAACCAAGCAACCACGCAACCACACAAACACAGAAACACACAAACACACAAACGCACAAACGCACAAACGCACAAACGCACAGACGCACAGACGCACAAACGCACAAACGCACAAACACACAAACGCACAAACGCACAAACGCACAAACGCACAAACACACAAACACACAAACACACAAACACACAACCACACAACCACACGCACACACGCACACACACACACGCACACACGCACACACGTGCACACACGCACACACGTGCACACATGCACACACGTGCACACACGCACACACGCACACACGCACACACGCACACACGCACACACGCACACACGCACACACACGAACACACGCACACACGCACACACGCACACACGCACACACACACACACACACACACACACACACACACACACACACACACACACACACACACACACACACACACACACACGCCACACACCCCGCCGCCCACACGCCCGCCCACGCCCGCCCGCCCGCCCGCCCGCCCCCCCCGCCCGCCGCCCCGCCCCGCCCGCCCCGGCCCGCCCGCCGCCCGCCCGCAAGCCCCGCCCGCACCCCCCACCCACCCACCCACCCACCCGCCCACCCACCCACTCACCCACACCCCCACACACACACACACACCCGCCCGCGCACGCACGCACGCACGCACTTACGCACGCACGCACCCGCCCACACGCACACGCTGGCCTGGCGTGGCAATGCCAAAGAACGCATGCCGCCCAGGCGGCGGCCTTCCAGCGACATGGCTTTCTTGGACAGAGCGCAGGTGGTGTTTCATTTGGCCCTGAAATGCCGACATGCTACTTCCGCGCGTGCTCCGGCCTGGCAGCCTCGCGCATCTCGCGCTCAAGTTCTCTGAGCGCCGACTGAAGCTGCAGCAAAGCCTCACTGGGAAAAAGGTTTCCACTCTGTTCAGAAACAAGACTCTAAGACAAGCCAGGGCCCTGCCTCCACGTATGGGCCACAGCACAACCGTCTCGGCGACACCCTGGTCAAGCTGGCCATTGAGCTACTCGTCTCTGCTCAAGCTTCCGGAGCAAGCTGCTGGGCGGTCAAACAATGCGAAACGTAGCTCAGCACTCAGTGAAATGCCAGCCAACGAAACAACTTGCCATCACGCAAGAAAATGTAGCCCTGAGAGTCTCGTGCCCTTCTCTCTCTTTTCTCTCTTTTTCCTCTTCCGTTTCCTCTCCTCTGTCTCTTTTTGATCTTTCAGCTCCCACTCTCCCTCTCTCTCCCTCTCTCCCTCTCTGCCACACCCGCGCCCGCCTGACAAACCGGATCCTTAAGCCCTTCTTGGCGTAGAGAGCGCCTCCACGCCTTTCCACTGCGCAGTTGAACGCGAAGATTTTTGCGCCACAGGCGTCGGGCACGCCGCCAAGAATTGTCGATTCTCAACGAAATACACATGCAAACGCACGCAAACGCGTAATTCGACTCAAAGAATCTGAAAAGCAGAAATTCATTGCGCCGTTTCAATTCAATTCACTCCACAAAACAGCCTACTTCCTCAAAACGATATTGCAGGATCTGCAGGAGGCGTCACCCCGAGCCAGCCTGAGGTGTTGCAGGCCTCGACCCTTCATCTCTCCCTGCAAGCCAACAGAAAACACAAGCGCGCAAGTTGCAGATTCACAGGCTGTGTTGACACTGGCTCACATCCCGAAAAGCTGTCTGGCGCCATTTTCCACTGCCATCTTTGGAAACTCCAAGGCGGAAGGCCCTCACCACTGCTCACCCACTGGCTGCTCCCGCATGTGTCGACCCCTCTTGACTGCCCGAGGCAAGAAGCGCTGCGGGTCAAACGCAGCGAGTGGCACGGAAGGGCTGCCTCCTGCCAGACAATCCACCCCGGGAGCATTACATGCGAGCGCCACTCTCAGCTCAGATGATTGTCGAATTGCTTCGCGCTTCCAGAATTCGATGACTCGTGCCGAGCCTGTTGCGAGCTCCGCCATGATCTGCCCAGTGATGGGGCCTTACAATGCCGCGCAGCGCCAAACCCAACCTTCCTTTGAACATCGAGATCTTTAACGAAACGGCGAGACTCAGGGTTGTGCCTAGCACCTGCAAAGCACTGGGGCGCCGGCCCCAAAGGATCCCCCAACAATTGTGGCCACAAGCCAGGAAGACATTTCTGGCCGGCTCCAGAACGCAGCTTCAAAATGATTACATCAACCAAAAGTCTTAACCAACTCATAAATTGAGCTTCTTGATGCAAAGCTAGAGAGCCGTGGGGGCTTGTGTCCGTAGCCTTGACATAAATAAGACGCAACACTTTCAAGCGTCTGCAACCATCAGGAGGCGTTGATATGTTTGGAATGCGCCCGGGCATTGCGACTTGGCAATGCTTCAACAAATATCAATGCGCGCAAATCCTTCCACAGCCTGTTGAGGCAATGCGATGCAGGGCCACGCAGCCGCGCAGCACAACAATTGCAGCACAAAGGCACTCGCGTCTTGTTGTTGCGCAAATGACTCAAACTCTTGCCTTGAAGTTAAACGAAACCCTCGCGCAAACACAAGTGCCAAAGAACACATGTGTGAATGGCACAGTCCGGCCTCGCTGTACCCAACAGCAAGCACAACACAGCAAGACAATGCGTGGCATCGATGGGCTGGCTTGTTTTGGCAAAACCATAGAAACTTCTCGAGAAGCTACTCCAACACAATAAGGGAACAAATGCGAAGGTCCTGTTCTCGACTTGCAGTTGTCCCTTGCAAGCGCAACTGACAAACATGAGGCGGCGCCCGTAGGCTTTCCCAATCATTGGCCTGGCAGTGAATTGCTGGGCGCAGTGGTGCAAGGTGCCAAGGCCCTCAAAGCAGAAATTGCGGGTCAAAAGAGACCAACTATTTGATGACCTCATGATTCATGAGGCATCAGACTTTGCTGAAGCAGCCGCTGACAAAATCTCAGGGGGTGCCATGGTTTCGGAGCTAAACCAGGGCGTCATCATGGTTTCTGCCCTCGAAAAAACGAGCGCAACCAAACTTCGAACTTTCTGGACAGGGAGGGCAATATATGTTCTGAACCTCAAGTTCATCGTTTGCTCAGTGTCATTTAGGCACTTTGCCACATCAAACCTCGTGGGCCATGCTAAGCATCCTCGGCATGAGCCATCGACGCGTGGGTTGGCGACGAGCCTAACCCGAAGCTTGAACGTCAAACGTTCATGGTGCCAAGGCCAAGTAGAATTCAACACGTGACGTTCAAATATGCTGAAAATCATGGTCCGCTTGCTTCTCGCCTGGCATCTGGCGGACAAGGCCGGATGCAAGCAGCTGGAGAAGGCTCCAAATCGTCGACCAGGCTGGTCTTGGCCCTGAGCAAGGAGGCTCGCACTCACAGCTGCGGCAACATGCGGAACCTCTGAGCACAAAATCGCAATTGCCACACCCCACAAAGCCGAGCGATTTGAGGAAACCGCGCGTAAATGTGCTGAATCAATCTTCAATGTCCAGTGCGTTGCCGGCCTCAGCGACTTGGTTGCAGCTGTGACCTCAGCAAGGAAAGGAGCCTCTGCACAACTGCAACAGAGCTGCCAACGTCAACAAGTCCTTTTGAGTTGCAAATCCATTGCAACAGCAGAACCAAAACTCATGGAAGTGCATTCGAAGCGCCTGCGTCACCTCAAACCTAGCTCACCTGCCAAAAAACAACATCATCCCGTCGCTCCGCAAACGGCGTATTGACTTGCCTGTCGCTGGCCAAAGAAGCTGTGGAAAACTCACAGCCACGAGCCCCCGCGCCATACTTTTTGCCCAAACTACCGTTGCAGCGGGCGAGGGTTGGTACGCGAACTGACGTCTGCCACTTGGGTTACTTGCTCTCGGTTGGCTAGATCAGCCAGGTTTGCAACTTGGGTCAGTTCGGTCACGGCCAATATGAGAAAAGTACTGGAAGACAAAACACCCAATTTGGGGACCTTGTGAAATTCATTTTCGCACCTCGAGCCAAGATGTTTATCCAAAAACATGTGCGGCCCAGGAACATGCTCACTGGAACGCAATGGGAAGCTTTGGTCCCAAGCGACAGCCAGGTCTTTGTTTGAAACGGCGGGCTCAGAGACGGAAAGCCTGCCAAATGGCTCTGGGATACAGAACCTTTTCCTTGCTCCGGAAACCGCGGCCTGGGGGTTTCCGCAAGAATACGTCGCTCCACAAGCAACCGCCGCCAGTTTCCGGACACGGGCGGCCAACGGGTCCCGCTTACTTTGCGTACTACTTTCGTATTGCAAAGTTGCGACTTTCGAGGCGGGGCGGAAGTTTACTTTGTGTACTACGTCGTTTTGAAAAGTTGCGACTTTCGAGCTGGGGCTGCGGAATTTTACTTCGTGTACTACTGTCGTACTGAAAAGCTGCGACTGTCGAGCCAGGGCTGCGGACGTGTACTTGGTGTACTATTTTTGCGATGAACGTTCTGTGTGCGTTCCGCGAGCACTGCCGGCAAACACACGTTCATCATTCCAGCGTCCTGTTGGCAAGCCACCCCCGCAGGTCTCGCAGTCCTCAGCACCGGGTCACTTGGGTCACTTGGGTAACTTGGGTCACTGGGGTCACTTGGGCGCTAAATCGCATTCACTTTGTTTGCACGTAGTTTTTCTGAGCCAACGCGCAGGCTTGCCTCTTCTGCCACAAGCTTTCCATTCATCAGGCTGATGCGACAGCCGGAGAGTTTGCTTTTCTGGATACAGACTTTTTATCGGAAAGCCTGTTAATAGCTTACAGACGGCAAGGCCGGTGGTTGGAAGTTTCTAAAACGTAAAGACTATAGTTCTGTTCTTCTGTCACCATGCGTCCTGGGAACGTGACAGGATGGCAGCGGATCTGCAAATTGTACAGCTTCCGCAAAAGCCCACTTTGCTTCGTCTCGACTGCGCAATGTGTGTTCAATGTCGCACCACAATTCAAGGCGTCGCTCCGTCCCACACCTGCAAGCTTGCTGGGGCTGGTGCTGGGCGACTTGAAAGTCTGCTGCAAAATTTTGGGCCTGAAAGTTGGCGAGGCCGAGTGCTGCTCATCAATCAATGTGGTTGTGGCCGAGGACGAAGGCAAGGTGGGAGTCGCCTACAGCTTGCGCCGATGCAGAAGCGCCAAAAGTCTGGCGCAAGACTCGGCCTATTGTCCTGGTGACAGAGGTCGATCGAAGCCCCTGGTCCAAGTCTTGCGCCAACAGCCGGATGTCGCCCCGTGGGTCAGGAGTTGCGCGCGCCAAATTATACCACTCCGAAGCGCGCAGGGCCACGGTTTTCAGCGGGGCGAAGTGCACCGCGCCAAGTGGGAGCAGAGAGACAGGAGTGAAGCACACCAAAGCAAGAAAGCGGCGCCAACCGGCTGCGGCGTGGACTAGTAGCGCTCCTTTTTCCTCGAGCCACATCTGTACCAAAGCCCACATGCTGCGTGCTAACACATTGACACAGTGGCGTGCCCTTTTGCAATGGTAGGAGCAACAGGCACGCAACCAAGCGTAAGCTGAGGCATGTGTGAGCAAGGCAAGGTTACGCCGCGTCGCTGCGTGTGTTTGGTGCGTCGCGCCAAGCGCTGGTGGACCAACACGCTAACTGCGAACACGCCTGGAGCAGGAGCCTGCTCAGAGATTCCTGCTGCCAGGCTGCCAACCCCAGCTGACAAGGCGCCTGACATTCCAAGAATTTGGCTTTCCACACAAGCACCAGGTGGAACGCTCTGCAAGTAACTCACTTAAGCAAGGTGACTGCCTTATCTCAGGCGGCCCTTGAAGCGCAAAACCGTCTGCCCGCTCGTTTCTCACACCTGCCACATGCGAGCACGATAGGCGCGCTCCTAGTCGGCAGCACCAATGCCCTAGCGCTTGCAAGAATATAGCACAATGGCTGTGACTGACTTAGCATTTTCAAGGACGTGGTTGGTTGTTGCGCAACTGCGAGAGCCGGACGGTCACATTTGCTGCCCCCAGATTTGGATCCCGGCATCGAAGCACTAAAAACATCACCTGCGCTAGCGCCTCAAGTGCGGCAATGCAAGATTGAAAGGAGGCAGAGTTGGCCGATCTTGTGCGCTAAGTTTGAGGCTGAACCATTTGACAGAGTGGAAGTCGCAGGCCTGCTTGGACAACAAGATCATCGGAAAGCACAGGCAGAGGAGCGCCAAACTGCATAACCGACACGGTCCGAAACGCTGGCGTCGGCTTATAGAGCAGGTGATAGAACTCTTGCAACCAAGGCTGTAGCCAGCAGGCCCCTGAAGTGAACCACAGAAGCAAACAAATTAGGCACTCCAAGTCCTTGCGCAGCACTGCTTGGCCTTTGCACGCCCATTTTTCTAGGCCGAGGAGAAGTTTTGAAACAAAATCGGCGGGAAGCTGCGCGCATCGCCGGTCACAGAACACGCGCCAACCAATCCATGTCACATCATGATTGAGGCGCAATTTCTCCCAACTCAACGGAACCGCAAGCGACGCCAGCACGCAACCAAGCGAGGCAAGGTTACGCCGTGTGGCTGCGTGTGTTTGGCACAAGCGCTTGGTCTTTGGTGGGTCGTGCCAAGCGCTGGTGTGCTGACACCGAAACAGTATTTCAGCAATATCTCGTCGAATATTGAGTAATAGGCGGGGATCTCACACTCTCCACTCCTTGCTTTCCCACCAACGCCTGTTTTTCCTTGTCTGGGCTGCCAAGCTCGAGCCGGGTTGGGCTTCACCATCTCTGGGGGCAATTTGGCAATGTCCAGCTCCTTCAGGTAGGTTGAACCTCAGGCTTTATTCAAGCATTCAATATAAGGCGCTCCAAAACTGCAATGACACAGTGAACACCATGCGTGTGGACTATCTGGTACTGTGCTCATGTGTTTGAAACTTGTGTTGCAGCATAGGCTCAAGACATGTTAGGCTCTTGACGCCACGGCTAAGCTCTGAAACTAAGCGGAAAGCCGCCCAATCCACACACGTAGACAGTTCCATCGTTTCGTGGATTCACCTCGTGTGGGTCGCTGCCAGTCTGAAGGGGCAAAGTAGACCTTGATTGCTTCATACTCGTCGCTCTCTGCTTAACCTCTCGTCCTCTGCTTCGGGGACTGCACACTTTGACTGCCTATTTACTGACATTATCACACACATGTCGCGCCATGAAAGCTGCATCTAAAATGACCCTCCAGACCCAAATCCTAAAAGCCTGAATCCACAACAGAACGCATCAATAGCATCAATCACGTGAGTAGCATGGCGTAGTTCAACTTAACACCCAACACAAGCTGACAGGCAAGCTTAATAATATGGAACGTTCATGCGCCTTGACAAGGAACTGCTTGAACGCAAGCCATCACGTTTCATGTCAATCAATGAAACAGCTTTGGGTCTGACTTGCCTGCGCTGACTCATTTCTCTTGATCTTGCTTCTGGACTTGACGCTTTGCACGGCGCAGCTCGGCCTCCAAGTGGCAGTGAAAATCATCCTCTGCGCAGAAGAGTGCGCATGGCTCGATAGGCCTGGCTTTGCTTGCCAAACTTTGGCGCGAGTGCTCAGAACGTTGCAAAGCCCTTGCGCTCAATGCAGTTCGCTTGTGCACGCTGCGCGCTACTCGTTTTCTCCTCCTAGTGGCTTCAGCATTGCGTTTGCTTCGGACACTTTGCGCAACCTTAAATGGGTTCTGATGAGTAGGCTCTAGGTTGCTAGCAGAACATGCCTACGCGAACCTGCCTACACTGGAATTTCTTGAACAGCCTACGGCGAGATCCTTGCTCCCCAGCAGAACTGCCTACGCAGTGCCTCGGCGGCATAAAGAGAGTCCCCCCCCGAATACTAGGCGAATACACAGTGAGCAAAAACTGTGCTGAAATGGTCATTGTCGCAAAGCGCCACCGCGCAAGGCGGGAACTCTCGATCGTTGCGAGCAAAAAGATGCAAATAACTACCAACAAGAAAAGTGTGGAAGCATGCGCTCTGTGCTTCCGCCCTGAGGTAGGCAGAACCATGCATGCTGCCACGCGTGCCCCAGCATATCTGCACACAGCCTCCTGAGCCATCAGCAAGCCATTCTCCGGCCCCAGCATTGGTTAACAATTGCAGCCTGGTACAGCTTGAAACACACTTGCGCAACACAAATTGCCTTGCCGCGCTTGTGCTCTTCTTGCGCGCTGAGTCTCGGCAGAATTTCAATGCGTGTTGGCTCGCTAGTGCAACAACGAAAAGGCTTTCGAAGGCACTCAAATGCACATTGGCGCCTCGGCACTTGAAACAGCAGCGAGGAGCTGAGGACGCCCTCCATGGGCACCTTCACCTGAAAATGTCGACTTGCTCTGCGTCACCGTGTTGACGGCCTTTTGAACATGATTGCAAAGCGCGGCCATTTCAGATCGTCAAACACGCAGGAATCATCTGCAGGCATGCGGCAGTCTAACCTGCTTGCTGACCTAGCGCTGGTCTACCTTCAAACAACTCGTTGTTTTGGACATTTTGTAGTTGCCGGATCTTCAAACAGCGGTCTACCTCAGAAGCAAACTGTCAGCGCGGAGCAGACTTCAGGGCAGGCGCAGCGCTTTGTAAGCTGCGGCGGTCGCGAGGGGAACCTCGAAAATGGATGCGCTTGGGGTGGACATGGCAACGCACACTGTTTCGCGCGCCTTGATTAAGTGAACCCTTTGCGCGCTTCCGCTATTCCTTGAAAAACTAAGTTGCCAGGTAAACCCTCTGCACACTTTCGGCTGGTCGCCACTCGTTGTTGTTTTGTGTCATCTTGAAGTTGCCGGTTCTTGAACAAGTGAACCCCCTACACTTTCGGTTGGTCCGTTTTCCCAGCTCAAAAAACCAAATGTTAGTGCGGAGCAGATTTCTTGGCAGGCGCAGCAGCTGCGGTTGTCGCGAAGGGAACCTCGAAAACATGCAAACATCGATGCGCTCGGGGTCTACTCGGAGTTTGGTCGGAGTCGCACGCATCGGCATGGCAACGCGCATTGTTCTCGAAGGTCAACCCTGTGTCCACTTTGTCTGGGTCTACCTTACATCACTCGCGGTTTTTGCGCTGTTCACGATGCCAGGTGAACCCTCTGCCCGCTTTCGGCTGCTTGACATTCGAAACCTCGTTGTTGTTTTTGCCACTTTCAAGTTGCCGATCTTGAAGAAGTGAACCCTCTACGCACCTCCGGTTGAATTCAAGTTGTCGGCTCTTTGCAAAGTGAACCCTCTGTGCACTTTCAGTTCGTGGCCAAATGCCAGCGCGAAGCAGATTTCATGGCAGGCGCAGCACGGACACGAGGAGAACCTCGAAAATGGATGTCTGCTCGGTGTCTGGTCCGAGTCTGCTCGGAGTCTGGTCGGAATTGGACGCGAACAGCTATTGGCACCTTTCTCCTGTATCATTCCATCTAAGCAACTTATCAATCTCTCGTCCCTCCCGCGACGCCTCTGGCATCCACTGCTCCAGGAGAACCGACCAGGGACCCATGGCAAAGATGAGCTTCTTGCAATGCACAGCCTGGCTTGCACCGCTCACTCACCCGCCGCAAATCGCGCAATGCGCACGGCTTTGCGCAGCCTTGGTCGAAGCCAGACCCGCAGCTGCGTCTACTATAGCAACAAGAGCGGGCGCGCAGCTAGGTCAAGCAAGCGAAGACAACAGCGCTTCCCAAATACCCAAAGATTGAAAAGCTTCTCCGATGAGTTTGACCATGTCAGTGGCTCTGCAGCCTATGGCTCGTCCGCTGATCGTGTTGCATCAACGGCAAAACACAGTCAACCAGGAAAGTCACCTACATTCAACAGCAAGCCATTCGTGCGCAGGGGACCTATCCTACGCAGCAGGATCTAGCACGCTGCACCTGAATGAACATTATTCAAGCCTCCGCAGACCCTTCCGCATCCTTGTTGGGTCATTGTTTGCTTCCGCAAACCTTCCACGCTCTATTGGGCTACCGGCGCTCCTTCTTTGGAGCTTCCGCAAATTGGCAAACCTTCCGCGAAATTCGCCGAATGTTTTGGTTCTCTTGGCTTGCTGCGAGCAACTGCTCTCATAGAAAGCGTTGAACACCTTTCTGCTGCCACTGTAACCGTTTCCCGTGCTTTTCCATAAAAACAAAAAACACAAAGCTTCCGCAATCCTTCCGCAAGAGAAACCCTTCCGCGAAGCGCACATTTCTAGAACAATGTCCCTCCCTACTACTTTAGCTTGCGGGCCAAAATGATGCCGCTCATCAGTGTCATCGCGCTGCGACCCCAAAAGCTCTCGCCTCGCCATCCACAAGCACCGCTGTCACCTCAGTCACACGCTTGCTTCGTGGAACGCTCGCCAAGTTGTATTATAAGGGCAGGCCACAACAAATGCCGCCCGTCAAGCAAATTATCATGATAAACACGGGGTACTCGCCCGCCACTCCCTTCTCCTCCCCTCCATCCTCCTCCCTGTCTCCCTCCGTGTCTCCTTTCACTCTTCAAACAATTGTGACTAAATCATGTTGACCCTGGCCTTGCCTGATCTTCTTCTTTCTTCACTCCTTCCACCTTGGAAGCAAGTGGCACAAGGGAAACGAGTCAGCGACGTCAAACAAGAATACGCCACGCCTTGCCCAAGCGCAGCTTGGCCCCTAAAGCCAACGCGGCATCCATGAGTTTGGACGTAACCTCTGCAGGATTGACCTGGCAAAGCAAGCAAAACTAGCGCGACAAACGCCACCCTACAGACTTCGGCGCCCTATGCAAGGTGTCAGGCAAACACATGGGCGATATGGGCAAGCCAAACAAGCTCGAGGCGGGTAATGATTCAGTAGTGACGCTTTTGTAATTGACTTGGCGGCCAAACAAATTGCCTCTCTGCGTTTTCAAGTCACGCTTTGCTTCTGCACACGGCAAGAGACGCAAGCCGCTAGGCACTCTTTGGCGTCCAATTGTTGGCAATTTTTGGCTCTTCTTGTGGCTTTCTATGATGGGGCATCTTTTCTTTGTCTTCGCCCTTTTTGCAGCAGTTCTCTCGGCTCAGTGGCTTTTTCAGCTCTAGGCCGTTTCCTTTTCCTGCTTTTCAACCAGCCAACAACAGGCTGGCGCGCTCTCCCCCACCCTGTGAAAGACGGGCCCTGCAACCACCAGCTTCTCGAAGCTTTGGCAGCTGGAGAATCGCAAGGGGTTCGAGCACAGAGCTCGGAGCTGGAATTCTGCAATTTTCAGCACAAGGTTTTAAACATTCTAGTGAAATTTGCCCCAGCACTGCCGCTCACAGGTCTGAATGTTGTGACTGAAAAGCTTCGAGGCCGCAATGCGGGAGCCAAGTGCCACATGTCCCGAGCCAGGATTGGGTCTATGCCCAGTCTGCAAAGACGGGCGCCTTGCAGCATATGTCCTTGACTTGACCAAAGCTCCCTTACACAAAACTTTCGCCAACAACAAAAACATGCTTTCGGAGATCCATCGCAGAACGTTCGCGAACATTGGCGCATAAAACAGCATGTCCCTCCGTTTCATATCTCAATAAAAGGCTCCTTGCGGACCTAGGAAGCCGAAAGCAACTGCGCAGCCGCTGATGAATGAACAATGTGGAACTTCGCAGTAACAAGGCTCTTTTGAACCAAATTGCTAGTGAAGCATGTTTGGTCTAGCTGGGGTGCTGAAGGCCCACATTCTTTGAGCTTGCACATTGACATGGACTTCTCTATTGCACAAAAACTACGAGGTTGCATAGTCACACTTGCGCACCTTGATCTTTGGCTTATGCCGGCCTGTCCAGACTTTTTTGCCTCTGTCGCTAAACGTCCCATCCAGGCTAGGTCTGCCATCCGAAGCCCCAATCCGCGATATTTGCTCATCATCTTAGGATGAAGCATAGAACTTCCTGCGAGGGGCTGGCAGTGCGACAGCTTTCCAAGGTTGCAAGTGCTGCATGCCTTGTCCCCTGTTGCTGTCAGATTTGTTGTCCTCTGGACATTTGGGAAACGAGCAGCGTAGAGATGTCATATCTGCGACCGCCATCAACATGATCAGGATGTGCGTGGCGGCTTTTGTGCAACGCTGAGAGGGAGGCCACTTCCAGGTGCTTGCGGCTGAAATCTTACATAGCTGCTTCCTTCATGTCCAAGAACCACACGCTGGGAATATCCTGCAGGTGGGGCGAAAAGCATTGAAATTAAGAGGGGCAGTGGCACGTGCAATTCAGGGGGCACAGCTTGCGTAGCTAGAAACGCCTGCCAATTTGCAAACTTTGAAAGCATATGCGACGACCAATGTCAACATGGGCTCCTCCAAGCATTGCCTCGCCGTTGTTTCCACTTGCAGTGCTGGCTTCTTCTGCAAGCGCAATTTGCACCGACCGAGGCTCAGCGCTTCTGCAAAGGCAAGGCGGCAGTCAGGCATTTTCCGGCTCTCGCACACCATCACCTCAGCATCCCATTGACACCATTGACATTGTGGGAAATGGAACAAATCCAAAAAGAAAACTGTGACTTTTCTTCCTCAAAAAGAGAAGTGTGACTTTGCATTGCGGCAGACGCGAGCGCCGCGCTCCAGTGATTCTCGGCAGCGCTGGCCCAAACGCCAGGCCAACGCTTTGGAGTATCCCACGTCCGCGGCCAGCAGCAAGTCCTTCAAGCAAGGATTGAGCTGGCGCACTTGAGCCATCTCAAGGTATGTTGTTTGTTGTTTTGCTCGGAGAACACTAAGTCACTACGCTCTATGTTTCTGTACTGACGCGTCCCGTGAGTTCGTAAGCAAAAGCAAAACACAGGCGTCTCTGTGGCAAGGCTCGTGCTCCGGTAATGGCGCTGGTGGCATAGGCAGCTCGGCGCGCTTAGGCGTAGAGACGTCCAGTGGCCTGGGCAGCGGCGCTGCGAAGTCCAGCACACGGGTCTGCAGAGAAGCTCCGCAGCAGGCACATGCGGCCTGAGGCGCAAAGGATCTCTGTTGCGTCACATGAAAGAAAGCAGGGGGAAAACATTTTACTTGCTCTCTCTCTGTCTCTGTCTCTGTCTCTGTCTCTGTCTCTGTCTCTGTCTCTCTCTCTTTCTCTCTCTCTCTCTCTCTCTCTGTCTCTCTCTCTCTCTCTCTCTCTCTCTCTCTCTGTCTCTGTCTCTGTCTCTGTCTCTGTCTCTCTCTCTCTCTCTTTCTCTCTCTCTCTCTGTCTCTCTCTCTCTCTCTCTCTCGCTCTCTCTCTCTGTCGCTGCTCTGAGGCCTGCAGCAAATCCAAGGAAAGCTGCCGGTAGTCTGTAGCCAGGACGTCTGCGCCAAGTTGCGCGGCCACCAAAGAGCATAGGCCGTTTCCGCAGCCCAGCTCTAGAACACGTGTGCCAGCAAGTGGCATTGCCAACAAGCGGCTGGCCAGGTACCTGGGCACTCGCACACACACACACACACGGAAGGGGGAGGGTCAGCTATCAACCACCCCGTGTGCGCCTGGAGCGTTCACATCGGGCAAACAACAAAGTGTGACTCATTGTGGCTCAGTGGAGAAGCCAAGGTGCACTGACGCCGGCCAAAGTTGGCTCCCATATGTATCTTGACTATCTTCCGGCGTCGCCTCAAAAACGGTGAGCTTCATGGACCCGATGGGCTCGCCGTCGCCTTACTTGGCGCCACTTGCCCAAGTTCTATTTCCGTTTCTTGGACACTTAGAATCCAGGAGCATGATTACTTCTTTGTGCGCTCGCAATCCCACTCAAGATCAGCTTCATCCGAGGCACTGATGTTTGGAATCAGCACGTCCACAGGCCGAAAGTCTCGCCCGGTTTGAGCTTGCCCTTTGGACACTGCGTCTCCCAGAAAGCCCACCTGACTGCCAACCCAGGCGGACACAAACCAAAGCAGAATGGCTCGGAGAGGTGCTTGGGACATGGCGCGGTACATGCGATGCCAAAATGCTGCAACGAGGAAGGAATGAGTTGAATGCGTCACGCGCGCCAAGCAGTAAACTAAGGTAGGGTGGCTCGGACGATCTGCCAACAGTTGCCAGAATGAGACGAGCAACAAGGAATGCCACTTGGCAGGCAAAAATGACTGAGACTTTCCCACTGTGAGGAAACCCTGTTTGGCACCTTTGCAAAATAGCCGACTCAAGGCCAGAACGCGCCTGTGCAGTCTCCTGCAGCAAGCATATGCCAGAAACGCCAAGAACCAACCCAAAGATCACGTTGCACAAACTTGCACTCAATTGACCGGTCTCATGAGCTCAAGCAAACCCACTTCCTTGCAAATCAGAGGGAAAAACGCCCTTAAAAACCAACCGGCGTCCCCTTCCTGGTCCATCATCTCCGCGCCAGCACGGTCCACCCACGGAAATCGATCTTTGACATCCCTGCCAGCATGCCCGGAATGGAAAACGACACTTCAACATCAGACGCGCAGTGCTTGGAGCAGCTCCGCCACCCTTCACGTTGGAGGCCGTTCAACATCTCTTGCGTGCCAATAGAGAATGCCAATATTTGCCTCAGCCATCTGGCCATGCCTCCTCCACTAAATCCGCCGGGGAGGCGCACGGGAGGTCATTCTGACGTTAGAGCAAGTGCGTCGGATAAGCGCTTGATCGACATCCTTTGCATTACCAATGCTGCTTCATAACAGGCCTTAGGCACAGTTGGAGATGCCAAGGATGCTGCGCTGATACTTGCTCATTCTTAGTTTCATCGTCATCATGATTGTCATCATGACTGCTGGTGATGCTGATGGTCATCATCATCCCTTTCTTGCTTTATATATACATTCAAAAGTGGCCTTGGGCACAGTTGGAGATGCAAAGGATGCTACGATGATACTTGTCCTCGGTATTGGTGATGCAGGGGGTGCTACGATGATGCTTATCATTGTGGCTTCCCCGACCGCGCCGCCTGCGGGCAGGTCAACCTGGTAATGGATCCTCAGCATTGTTGGAGATGCAGGGGATGCTACGATGGTAATTATCATCATCATCATCATCAGTCATCGTCATTCTTAGTATCATCGTCGTCATGATTGTTATCATGGCTGCTGGTGAAACTGACGGTCATCACGATCCCTTTCTTTCTTTATATGTACAGATCAAAGTGGCCTTAGGCACAGTTGGATGCAAAGGATGCTACAACGATACTTCACCTCGGCATCGTTGGGGATGGCAGGGGATGCTACGTTGATACTTGTCATCGTGGGTTGCCGGACCGCCCCTTGCCAGTGTGATCGTGCTCAACTGGAGGCTTGACCTGCCCGGAGGCTTCCGGGTAGGTCAACCTGGCAATGGTCTGCTCGGAGGCCTCCGGGCAGGTCAACCTGTTAATGGATCCTCAGCATCGTTGGAGATGCAGGGGATACTACGATGATACTTATCATCGTATCGTGGGTTGCCGGACCGCGCAGTGTGATCGTGCCCAACTGGAGGGTTGACTTGCCCGGAGGCTTCCGGGTAGGTCAACCTGCTCGGAGCTGTCCGGGCAGGTCAACCTGGTATTGAATCCTCAGCATCGCAGCGATGCAGGGGATGCCAATCCCTTTCTTTCTTATATATACATTTGAAAAGTGGCCAGGCACAGTTGGAGATGCAAAGGATGCTACGATGCTACATATCCTCGGCATCGTTGGAGATGGCGGGGATGCTACGATTATACTTATCATCATCATGGTAATGATCATTCTTAATGGCGGCAGCCGTGAAATCTGGCCGAACGGCTGTGTTGGACTACCACCTCGACAATGCGGAGGATGCGCCTGGGGGGTCCGTGAAGAGGAAAATGATGAGCATCACCTGTGACAACCTGCGCCATCTGCTTCTGGCGGGTGCGTTTTTTTGGGTCTGGTTCTGGGTCTGCGGGCCTGCCCTGGTGATGCGGGTGATGCTGGTGATGCTGGGGTTGGGGCGCCGCAGCCTTGGAACACTAGGAAAACACGCGAACTTGCGGAGTTTTGAGAAACGCTTGGTTTTGACATACTCTCTGCGTGGCAGCTGGCCCAGGCCTGCGCGCGTGCGTGCGTGCGCGCGCGCATGCGTGCGTGCGCCCCGTGTGTGCGTGCGTGCGTGTGTGCGCGTATGCGTGCGTGCGTGCTTGTGTGCCTGGCTTGCGTGCGTGCGTCGTGGTGCGCGGGTGTGTCTGTGTGTGGGGGTGCGGGTGCGGGTGCGTGTGCGTGCGTGCGCGTGTGAGTGTGTGTGTGGGTGCGTGCGTGCGTGGGTGTACAAGCGTCAGCATGCGTGCGTGTGAGGTTGTGCCGGGGGGGAAATGACGGGTAGTGGGTGGAAAATGGGTAGAAAATGGATGAAAATCTGATGGAAATGTGTGGAAAATGGATGTGTGTATGTGTGCAAGTAAGGAAATGCATGTGTGTGTGTTCATGTTGTTGTTGTTGTTGTTGTTGTTGTTGTTGTTGTTGTTGTTGTTGTTGTTGCTGCTGCTGCTGCTGCTGCTGCTGCTGTTGTTGTTGTTGTCGTCGTCGTCGTCGTCGTCGTCGTCGCTGTTGCCGTCGCTGCTGCCTGCTTAGCCGTCCTTGCAAGTCGCGATGCTGCCGCGGCCGGTTGTGCGCCAGCAACGTGTGTATGTGTGCAAGTGAGGAAATCTATGTGCGTATGTGTGCTAATGTTTTTGTTGTTGTTGCTGTTGCTCCTGCTGCCTGCTTACCCGTCCTTGCAAGTCGCAATGCTGCCACGGCCGGTTGTGCGCCAGCAACGTAAATCCGGCCGCGGCCAATTGGCCGAACAGCTGTGCCCCCTTGCTCGTTTGGAGCAAGGCTCCAGGAGGATGCGGGTGAAGAGGAAAGTGATGAGCATCACCTGCATTATCTGCTTCTGGCGGGCGCGTGTGTCCGAGTCTGCGGGCTTGCCCCGGTGATGCAGGTGATGCTGGCGATGAAGGGATGTTCCTGGGAGCTGCCTTCCACACTGCGTGCTTGCATGCGTGCTTGCGTCCGTGCGCGCGTGCGCCCAGGCGTGCGTGTGTGCGCGTGTGGGTGTGGGTGTGGGTGTGGGTTGGTGCGTGGGTGCGTGCGCGCGTGCGTGGCTGTGTGTGTGTGTGTGTGTGTGCGTGTGTCTGTGTCTGTGTCTGTGTCTGTGTGCGTCTGTGTGTGTGTGTGCGTGCGTGCGTAAGCGTGCGCGCAGGTGCGGGTGCGGGTGCGGGTGTGGGTGTGGGTGTGTGGGTGGGTGTGTGTGTGTGTGTGGGTGTGTGTGGGTCTGTGTGTGTGTCTCTGTGTCTGTGTGTCTAAGTGTCTGAGTGTGTGTGTGTGTGTGTGTGTCTGTGTGTCTGTGTGTGTCTGTGTGTGTATGCAAGCTAACCAAACGGCACCACACACGAGCACGCGATAACTCTTTCATCCGAGCAGTGTGTTGGTGCCAGGGACTCATCTTCCCCTGTCAGATGACCAACGCTGGGTGGGCCCCATGGGCCACCCAACTCACAATTCTCAAAAACTGAAGAACGGGTGTGCAGACTGATAGCGCCCGCCCCTGAGCCGGGGCCCGTGGCACCCAGGCCACAGGGGGGTCTGCCACCAGGGGAAGTGAGTCACCCACCGGCTCCGGTCACGGGAGCATGGGTGGGCCCACGCTGAGATCAAATGCATCTCCATTCAGGAGACGCGGGAGAAAAACAAACTCCTCACAGAGTTCCTGCTTGGGGACCCTTTGTAAAGGGTCGAACCCAGAGAAATCCGGGTGCGTCAGCTCATCAGCCCATTGATTGAATTCACGGGGCACATGGTTGGCCGCCAGCGAGCAGCCATGGGTGTGGAGCAGGAAGACCAGCTCCATCAGGATCGCCGCCGTGTAGGGCTTCTTGGATCCAAGGTTGAGCATCGCCATGACGTTGCCCTGATTGTCACTGCCCACCGGGAGTCGGACCCGGGAGGACAGAGGGCCTTGGTGCGTGAGGATCATGTTACAGAGGAAGAGCGTGCCCAGCATCTCCAGAGCTGCAATCCTCCGCTTTGGATCCCCATTCTTGAAAGCCCAAGGGTACTCCTCCACGTGGATCTGCTCATGGAACCAGTACACCTCCTTCTTGTCCGGTTCCACTGTGTTGGAGCACCAACCTCCCACAAATGCCAGTCCGTCGTCCGAGGCGCTAGCGTCGCTGCAACCCCACCAAGAGGACTTTGGCAAGTAGGGGGAGTACTGGACGAAAGGCGTGTTGAAGAGGAACCGCAGCATGAACGCCAGCATCCTGACCACCTTGGGGGGTTTCCCCACCGTGGTGGTGGCCATCTTCCAGGCCCAAAGTGGCTGGAGCATCGACTTCGCCAGCGGACATGCAGCCGTTGCCCATTGGATGCGGCCCAGGGCCTTCTCGATGTCCTTTGAGTGCATCACCTGCCCTTCCACCATGGTCTGCAAAACCTCCATGACCAGGATGTGTTTGTTGGCTGCCATGAGAACCTGCGGGATGTTCGGGTGGACCACGAAGCCCAGCCATGTGTTAACCTCCGCCAAGTGCGTCTTCTTCCAGCTAAGTGGGGTGCCCAATGCCAGGAGTGTGGCCAGCAGCGCCACCGCCAAGTTCGCTGCCCCCTCGCTTCGAAGCAGCCACAGGAAGTCGTCGACGAAGACGAAGTTCCAATCCACTTGAGGGAAAAGTGCGTAGAGGACCCTGAGCAGAAGGGCTGCCAGGCGTCCCCAGTAGGATTGGGCACTGGCCATGCCATATGTGCCTACCTTGTTCACCCACCATTCTTCCCCCAGTGAGGCCACCTGGAACCGCCAGTCCTTCCTGAGGACCTTCACTCTCTGGTGGGCCTTGGTGACGTCCGCCTTGAGCAGCACCCACCTGGTGCCCGGCTCCGGCCATAGCCAGCCCCCAGGTGGAGGTTTGACAGTCCCCCCCTCAGGGCCAGAGGCACCCTGAGAGGGGGTGTCCCTCCGCAGCTGCCGCATGTAGCCAATGGAGAGCTTGAACCCCATCCAGCACCGTCGGAGCCGTCGTCCTTTCCACCGTCTGGTTCCTGATGGTGTCATTGGCCCCTCCCACCGAGCCATCGTAGATCGTGCGGATCTTGTCCCCCTCGTCGATGCCCGCTAGGGGGCCGGGACAAAGGTCCTCGCTGTCGCAGCCACATCGCGATGCTGCCTCCTCCTTACTGAAGGGGCCTCCACCATGCCCATGGGGACCTCCTCCAGAACTGTGCCCCGGATGAGATCGCTGAAGTGATCCGCCGAGGGGTAGTTGCCCCTGGCCGTTGGGTGGGGAGTTCCTGGAACTCCGGCTCCTCCCCTTTCAGCTCCTTCTTGAGTGGCCAGATGCCCGGCGAGGTCAGGGGTGGGTCCGTGACCCCCAGTGGGACCCCTTGCTCCAGGTCCCGGGGAAACTGGTGGTCGGGGTCCTGAATGTTCAGCGCCACGCTGTGCAAGAT